TGCACTTCCCATACACAGATAACGTCCAATACACATAGTTTGGGCATATCTTCAAGCGTCTGAATTGTTCTCTCTGTTTGTCCATCAGTTTGGGGGTGAAAAGTTGTGCTAAACTTCAACTCGGTCCCCAAGGCCCTTTGTAAACTTTGCCAAAATCTAGAAACAAACTTCGGATCTCGGTCTGATACAATGGACATCGGCACTCCATGAAGTCTCACAATCTCATTCATATACAGTACAACAAGTCGGTCGGCATTAAAGGTAGTCTTAACAGGCAAGAAGTGTGCTGACTTAGTTAATCTATCGACTACGATCCAAATTGAATCCATACCCTTCAGTGTCCTCGCCAAACCAACCACAAAATCCATGGAGATGTGCTCCCATTTCCATTCGGGAATCGACAAAGGTTGAAGAAGTCCTGCTGGCCTCTGGTGCTCTGCTTTCACTTGTTGACAATATAGGCACTGAGATACAAACCCAGTTATTTCTCCCTTCATATATGGCTACCAAAAAGTCTGCTTCACATCTTGGTACATCTTCGTGTTTCCTGGATGAACGACAAATTTGGAACCATGAGCTTCTTGCAAAATCTTCCTTTCAACTCTGGGACGTCGGCCACGCACAACCTTCCCTCAAACTTAAGTACCTGATTCTCGATGGTGTACCCTGACCTCGGCTTGGTGACAAACTCATCAACCACTTTCTTGAAGAATCCATCCTCCATCTGCCTGGTCTTCACTTCCTCAATAATAGTCGGCTCCACTGAAATCATCGCTAGGCATGCCAAATTCCCATCTATTTTCCTGCTCAACACGTCAACTACTGAGTTTGCTTTACCTGGATGATACTGGATTTGCATGTCGTAGTCCTTCAATAATTCAAGCCATCTTCTCTGTCTCATATTCAGTTCCTTTTGAGTGAACAAATACTTCAAACTCTTATGATCTGTGAAAACTTGGCAAGAAGCTCCATACAAGTAATGACGCCAAATCTTTAAGGCAAATACTACGGCTGCCAATTCTAGATCATGGGTGGGATAATTCCTTTCATGAGGTTTCAATTGACGCGATGCATATGCTATAACTTTACCCCCTTGCATTAACACACATCCCAAACCCTTATAAGAAGCATCACTATAAATCTGGAATTCCTCATTACCTGTCGGCAATACAAGAACTGGTGCTGTGACTAACCTCGTCTTTAGCTCCTGGAAGGCTGATTCTCTATCCTCGGTCCATTCATACGCCACCCCTTTCTGAGTTAGTTGTGTCAAAGATATTGCAATCTTCGAAAAGTCCTTCACAAACTTTCTGTAATAACTGGCCAAACCCAGAAAACTACGAACCTCGGACACATTGGTCGGTGTCAGCCAATTCACAACGGCTTCAATCTTACTAGGATCGACTGAAATACCTTCTTCATTAACCACATGCCCCAAAAACGAAATGCTGGAAAGCCAAAACTCATACTCGCTAAGCTTGGCATACAATCCTTTATCTCTCAGAATCTGTAGGGAGAGTCTCAGATGCTTCTCGTGCTCAGCTTCACTCTTGGAATAGATCAATATATCGTCGATAAAAACAACCACGAACTCGTCTAGGTACAGCTTGAAGACCCTATTCATCAGATCCATGAACGCTGCAGGAGCATTAGTTACTCCGAAGGGCATAAACAAAAATTCGTAGTGGCCATACCTTGTTCGAAAAGAAGTCTTCTCAACATCCTCGGCTTTAACCTTGAGCTGGTGGTAACCCGACCTGAGATCGATCTTAGAAAAGACTCGTGCTCCCTGTAGTTGATCAAGTAAATCATCGATCCTCGGCAATGGGTACTTGTTCTTAATGGTTACCTTGTTCAGTTCTCGGTAGTCAATACAAAGGCGAAGTGTACCATCCTTTTTCTTCACAAATAAAACTGGTGCTCCCCAAGGTGAGGTACTCAGCCTAATAAAGCCCTTATCTAACAACTCTTGTAATTGCAGTTTCAACTCCTTAAGCTCGGCTGGGGCCATTCTATAGGGTGTTTTAGAGACAGGTTGGGTTCCCGACGTGACGTCAATAGTAAACTCTATTTCTCTATCGACAAAGCAGCCAGACAAGTCATTTGGAAAGACGTCGGGGAATTCCTTAACAACTGGGATGTCGGCCAATTCAACGTTTCCACTCAAATTGTTTAGTATACTACACAAATAACCTTGACACCCTTTTTGAATCAATTTAAAGGCCTTCATGGATGAGATCAAGTAAGGTGGGGATACTACTTCCTTACCCTGGAACGTAACCTCGGCTAGGTTTAGGGGTTTCAATGTGACACTTTTGGAGACACAATTTATGGATGCATGATTCGCTACTAACCAATCCATCCCCAATATAACATCAAAATGAGTTATGTCCAACAGCACCAAATCAACTAATAATTCAACATTCTCAATCATAACAACACATGCTCTATAAATGGATGCAACAGTCATAGTTTTTCTAGACGGAGTAGACACAGATAACACATAATCAAGGGGTTCTAATTTCTTACTGAACTTCTCAGCAAACTTAGTAGACACAAATGAATGAGTAGAACCCGAATCATTCAATGTATATGCACCTTGAGAGCAAATAGGAAGTATACTTGACACTACTGTCTCGGCGTTCTGGGTGTCCCCTGGCACTAGAGCAAAAACTCTGCCCTGCCTCATCTGTCCTTTCCTGACATTGCCTTTCTGCGCCGGACCCGAGGTGTTCTCATTCTTCTTACCATCATTAGCCTTTGCCTTCGGACAATCTTCCACACGATGACCTACTTCACCACATTCAAAGCAAGCTCTAGACGCCCAACAACAAACTCCAGAATGTGTCTTCCCGCAACTTGAACATGTCGGCCTAGTGCCACCTTCCTGTCTTGAATAACTCGAACTGCCTATGTTTGTCTTCTTCCTGGCATCAAATGCTCCTCGATGATTGTCGTAATTCTGTCTCTTCTTCTGGCTCTCTCCTGAACTCTGGTATCGGTTCAGGTTAGCTTCTGCTAGAATGGCCTTGTCTAACACTTCGGCGTAAGTCAGCATGTTGAGCATGTTCACTCGGTCCTGTATCGGTCCACGCAACCCACTTTCGAACTTCCTATCCTTTCGGTATTCGTCGTCAACCATGTGAGGTGCATATCTTGCCAACTCAGTAAAAGCACGGTCATACTCTGCCACTGTCTTGTTGCCTTGTGTCAGAGTCTGGAACTCTGTGGTCTTGCGATCTCGGTCACTAAGGGGAAAATGCTTGTTGTAGAACAACTCCAAAAATCTAGCCCAAGTCAAACCTGGGTTACCTTCTCGGATCATCATCCACCATCTTCGGGCGTCGTCGTCCAACGTGAATGCTGCTAATGACACTTTCTGAGCGTCGGTGCTGGGGAAAATTTCGAATAACTTCTCCATTTCCAAAACCCATGCCTCGGCCTTCATCGACTCTATACCCCCTTGGAACCTCAGCGGTTTCATCTTTTTGAACTCTTTGATCAAGGCTATGGTGCCGTCCCCATATAAGGCTTGCTGTGGAGGCACTTGCGGCACTGGAGGAGGTGGAGGTGGAACTGCATGTCCGCCGTTTGTCTGCTCAGCCTGGGTAGACGTAGTACTAGCATCCTGTGGCCTAGGCTGTCTCAACTCGCGGACCAAACCTTTGACCAACCTTCCTAGTCTGTCTAATCTGTCTTCAGAATGATCTCGGCCAACTGGAGGTCTACCCCTTCTCATGATGCTAGGAGTATGCAAAATATGGCTTTAAAACAAAATGAACGGATAACATGTATGCAAGTGACAAATAGTCATGCCGAGATGATGCACCCCTTGTCAAGTGGCAAGCAATATGATTCAAATCCTAATATCATTCTAAGGAAAATCCTAAGCTCTTTAGGACTCAAAGTGTGTAAATAACGTACTATAAGGAACTCGTGCTCTGATACCAATCTGTCACGACCCCATTCTGCCCCTAGTAGAATGGTGCCATGATGGCCAGTAATCCGAGACTACCAAAGGCCAACTTACAAAGATTCACACACAAACTGTCACGACCCGAACCCACCCCCATGGGTTAAGGACGTAACCGGCCAGTAATTATGAGATTACCTACGGCCTCAAACCAAACCAAATGTATTTTAACAAAGTTAATGGGGGCCAAACGAAAGCAATTTAAAACTTTGTCCATAGAGCCGTGCTTATATGCACTTTAAAACAAACCATACGCATATACGTTAATAACCCACAACAAAATACAGTACCGGAAAATCCTTTACAGACAGGATCATCTAAACTGAGTCAACCCCTATCACAACTACATACCGATATACACAAGATCCTTGCCAACAAGACAAAATGGAAATACATAACAGAATGGCAAGGTTGAGTCTCGTGCGTGAGACACAAGGCTGACTCTCCAAACTCATGTTATTCCTGGCAGACTTCACTGGGGCTGGGTTTGGACTTCTCTTGGCTCACCTACAAACACATGAATGAGTGTGAGCGATAGCCCAGTGAATAATGTCTAATATAGAAGTCATATAAACAATATGTAGAACAACATACTCCAAACGGCCTTGGGCCCAATTCATTTTCCTACTTAACAGATATATAGCTAAATATAAATCAAGTGACTGTAACTCCAAACATTCTGGCCTTTGGCCCATTCAGATCTCCATTCTTGTCAAAGCGGCCTTCGGCCCATTCGATTATGTCAAAATGGTCTTTGGCCCAATCATTTATGTCAAAACGGCCTTTGGCCCAATCATTTATGTCAAAACGGCCTTTGGCCCAATTATGTACGTTAAAACGGCCTTCGGCCCATACATTCGTATCAAAACGGCCTTTGGCCCATTCATTTATGTCAAAACGGCCTTCGGCCCATACATTCGTATCAAAACGGGCTTCGGCCCATACATTCGTGTCAACCCGGCCTTTGGCCCATTCATTTATGTCAGAACGGCCTTCGGCCCACTCATTCATTTCAAAACGGCCTCCGGCCCACTCGATTATGACAAAACGGCTTTCAGCCCAATCATTTATGTCAAAACGGCCTTCGGCCCATACATTTGTATCAAAACGGCCTTCGGCCCATACATTCGTGTCAAAACGACCTTGGGTCCATTTATGTTTATCAAAATGACCTTGGGTCTATTTATGTTTATCAAAACGACCTTTGGATCCATTTATGTTTATCAAAATGACCTTGGGTCCATTTATGTTTATTCATATCAGACTTACGTCCATAATCCCAATTAGCAATTCATAAAGCTTATAAGGGAATAATAATTGGACATCCACAATCATTCAAATATCGATATTACTCACAGTGATCGGCTTGTGGATTTGCCCTGGAGCTTGACCTTACATATTTCATGAACACAAAAGGGTCACTAACAGTTCAATCCGTTCTCTAATTCACATATTCCTCTTTAGGCTTTATTATTATCTCATTAACTCATTTGCAATGCTTAACATATGCCTAAGAGTGCTTGCAAGTGAAAGAGAACGGAAAACAGAACACAAAATGCAAAAACAGGATTTCAGAAAATAGGGTTCCCGCTCGAGCGTCAACTTCCCCGCTCGAGCAGACCCTTAGGTCTGCGAAAGTACTGGTTGCCTTCAATTCCAGCTCGAGCGTGAACTCGGCCGCTCGAGCGGACTGCCTGTCTGCATAGCTCCCCGCTCGAGCGTCAACTTCCCCGCTCGAGCGGGAACCATGTTTACAGAAAATGCTGGGAGCTCGATTTCTCCGCTCGAGCGGCACTTCACCCGCTCGAGCGGACATCGAAAATCTGGGTTTTCCAGATTGAGTTCTTGAGCTTCATCTCGACATTCAAAGGCACTAAATGCATGATTTCGGTCCAAATTTCACATAATAATGTACTAACATGGTACAAACATAGAATTACAACATATTGAAGCTCAATTTCATAATTTATCTACATGCATGGCTCATTTTCCACCAACTCATTACCAATGTAACCATTTCATGCATTCAAAGCTTCTACTTCCATGGATTGTACATGCATGTGACATATAACCTTCAGTCTTGTCTCATATGATGAAAAGATGGTCAAATACATGGATTTCAACCAAAATTGCAACATGAGTCATGTAATTCAAGCTCAAATACGTAAATTCAAAACAATACATACATGCATGCATATGTAGTCTTCAAATTTATCAAAACCAACTCCTTTCATGTTCTAGATCACAAATTAATCTTCAATTCACGAAATCACAACTCAAATTCATGAGTTAGGGGTTGGTTACTCACCTAGGAGCTTTAATCTTCCAAACTCTAGTCAATTCTTGAGTTAAACCTTCAAATTCCCAAGTTAGAGCCAAAATTGCTCAAGTCTCTTCCTTTCTCTCTCTATAGCCGGCCTCTTTCTCACTCTCAATTGTCTAACTCAGATTTTGAGTTTTAAGAGAGCTAAAGGAGAGTGCAATGCAAATATACAACAAGCCCCACTAACAAATATTTTAATATAAAATAATGGGGTACTTAATTTATCAATTTAATCAGTTTAAATTGACCAGAATCAATTTTCAATTAAATTTCACCGTAGGCTCTAAAAATTATGCCAATCACAATGGCGCGATCAATTTCGGGTTCTGTGGCCGATAGGGCCCTCAATTTAATTCCGAAAGTAGTTTACTCAAACAGATATTCCTACAGTGAACAGATAGAATTGCAAAATCACATAATGGCATATAAAGTCATGCTGAACACATAATCATATTCAAATTAAGGACCAATTTAGCATATTACGGAACAGGGGTATCACACAAACAGAGTATACATATGGGGCTTACATGTGAGGAAGCAATAATTTAATTCTAATTAGTCCATAAGAGCTGTGCATAAATCAAATGAAATGACATACATCATATCAAGGTCTTACAACTTGAATACAAATGAATAAGTACATAATACATCTTGATCAAAAGGCTTTTCAAGCCGACATATGCAAAATACAATGAGTCACAAGACAAGAAGCATAGTCTTCAAGATGCTATCAAAAGTATGAATCCAAAACATCATGCCAAACGTATCTAGGCGTCACCGCCGTCCTGCTCATCACCTACATATATATATAGAGAGGGTGAGCTTGGATACTCAGTGAATGATATAATCAATAAAGGGGTTTGCATGAATGATATCTGAGATCTTCATCAAGCCAAAACACATCATTTCTTGTACGAAATCAAAGGGCAAATCAAGTTCATCTAAAACTCTTTCAAGTCTCAAGGGATGCTTACTAGCATCAATAATACAAAGGATGACATAATCAAAGGTGCTACAAAAGTTTAGAGTCCCCTAGCACGTACGGACTTGTGCTACAAATGCTTAGAGTCCCCTAGCACGTACGGACTTGTGCTACAAATGCTTAGAGTCCCCTAGCACGTACGGACGTGTGCTATAAATGCTTATAGTCCCTTAGCACGTACAGACTTGTGCTACGAATGCTTATAGTCCCTTAGCACGTACAGACTTGTGCTACAAAAGTTCATAGTCCCTTAGCACGTACGGACTTGTGCTACAAATGCTTATAGTCCCTTAGCACGTATGGACTTAAGCTACAAATGCTTATAGTCCCTTAGCACGTATGGACTTAAGCTACAAATGCTTATAGTCCCTTAGCACGTACGGACTTGTCAAGAATGTTATCAAAACCAAAGCTAATACTTGATACACAAAATAGGGATAGTCATTCATGCTTAACAAATACTTTTTCAAAACAAGCAAGGCAAAGCTTTTTCAAATGTCATAACATAACTTTATTAAAAATACCACTCACATAGTTCTTCAAACGTCGGGGTCAAAACAAGAGTCCAAGTCCTACAAACACATAACAAAGTCTATTGAATGCACTCTCAAACAAACTTTACATGAATGCAAATGATCTCGGCATTCCATTCTTTCAAAACTAAGTCAGACCAAAACAAGGCACTGTTTCTCATCTCGGGAAAACATAATGGGCACCAACCAGGTCTTGGCCGAGGTCCCACACCTCCTTGCCGAGGTGTGGTCCCGACGGCCACATTCAAGGAAATAAAGTCGGGAAAATCTGGGTTTCCCTTTACTGAAGAACATGAAGAACATGAAAAACATGAATGTTCAATCACAACTT